CCACCACCACCACCACCACCACCACCACCAGAGGCCAGGGCAACTGCAGAGCACTCGGAATTGTGCACAGCACCAATGTGCTCAGCGACATTTGCAATTCATCCTTTCATGTCGGCAACACTGAACCGGAACCGTGCCTCCATGGAGGGAGGGGCGGGAATGATAAGCTAAAATGATTATGACCTTAATTCCAAATATTGCTAAGCACATTTCTGGTTGTCAGGAAAGAACAGTAAAATAAAATAGCACTCCTCATGCCCCTCCCCACCACCAAAATCGCTTGTGAAGTCTGAATCCCAAAGACAGCAGACCAGTGATAAACACGCTGCATAAGTAAACATATACGAGACGTTGGCAGGGGAAATGCTATGAAGAAAAGAAACAGAGTAGACTACAGGGGGTTGGGGACATTGTGGGACACCTCTCAAAGCTGTCCTGAGGGCACTTGGCAGTGTAGGCCCGTTAGTTAAACAGATGCCCTGAAGGCAGCGAGGGAGTTACCCCTCTGGCTCTCTGAAGGAAAGCCCTGCGGATTACAGTGGTCAAACCCAGCACTAATCATGGGGACTGTGGATGACCAGTCAGTGCTTTCTGGGGCTGCCATGAGTCAGGGGCCAAATGAAAGCAGCTCACAGTCATTATGGTTAGGGCGCTGGCCTGTCTTTGTAGTTTGCTTCTGGCTCAGTTTCCCAGAATGCCTCACGTCTTTCCAATCTGCTGTTCTGGCTGCAACATTACAATGAATATCTGCCCTCTTTTACACGTGTTGCTATTCCTCTGGGGTTCCCGGGTAGTTTGAGGGTTCAGTTCTTGACCACTGACTGAAAGGTTGGCAATTCAGATTTACTCAGAGGCACCTTAGAAGAAAGGACAGGGACTGACTTCGGAAGGTCAGGCCTTGAAAATCCTTGGAGTGATCGACTCTTCACTACCTATGGGCATTTTCAAGTGTTGGAAATGATATAAAATTATGTAAAAGTAAATCATCAGAGGTGTGTATTTACTTTATACATAATTACTTGAACAAAAGTACTTAATCATTGAAGCAACTATGCTTACCTCAGCCAAGTGCACTATACTAACTTTATCTGGATGTTTAGTTTAGAGTGTGAGGCTATGGGTAACATTGTTGTTTCAGTGATAAATGTGTTTTTGCTAAAGGAACTAAATAATAGGAAGGCAACACTTATATAAGTGACAACTGAGTCTGTTAATGCAATTAGTGATTAGAGGGAGGGTGACCTCAATGACCTGGAGTTGCAGCTGGGACAGGCCACCCGGCAGGCCACGGAGGCTCAGGCCACCTCCTGGCTGCTGCAGGGCCAGCTCCAGGAGGAGCAGCGGCTGGTGGCTGGCCCAGGAGCTGAAGGAGCTGCGGGCTGCCCTGGAGCAGGGTGAGTGGGTTGGATTAGAATGCCAAAAAAAAAAAAAGATGGAGTCTGGTAGTTACCAAAACCAAACCGATTTCAATGTGTAGCTTCAAGCAGATTTCAGAATTTCTTCAGAAATAAAAAGAAGCAGAGCTTAATCAAATAAGCCTCCAAACAAGACTGTTCTGTAAGACTGCTGTAGGTTTCCTTGCTCCTTCCTCGCTGTCTACTGTCTGTCACATAATATGTTCGTACAAGAATGCATAGCTTAGCTTTTGCTTTGTTTGGAAGCTTCACATGGGCGTCTCTGGGAGTGTTTAGATGTCTGAGCTGGGCCTCCACGGAGACCACAGCTTGTGTCTATAGGCTCTTTGGGTGTCAGGAATGTGATCCATCGGGATAGTCAGGCCATCAATCTGGTGAAAAGAAATTGTGTGCCATGAAGGCAATGCTAAAATAAAAGTGTTATTAACTTCAACCTTTTCTCTCCTATACCAAGAACAAGGCAGCTGCCACTATAACTATGGGGACTGATAAACAAGAGAGAAAACATTTATTTTTTAAACCAACTCCTAAGTGTAAAATGTTAATGGAGGGCTGGCATTGGCAACATATGATACTAAGATCCCTTTCAGTAATAAGTCCCAGGAAGGGTATAAAAATGGTGGCAATGGCAATTATTAATTTTTGTGGGGGCCAAGGATGGTTTAGTGTGGATGAAGTACAGTCCAGCAGTAGACTAATAAATAAGTAAGTAATAACCATTAAGTTAATATCAACACATGGAGATTTAGGGGAAATAAGTTGCTTAGTATTTCAAAAAGATAATTCACTCACCATTTCCCTGTAATGCAGAAGTCAATGAATTTATATCCTCAACTATTGTTAATATTAACTGTGGTATTTCTTGTTTTGTTTGACACTAGAAATAATGCTTTCAGTGAACTAACATGCTTTTTAAATTAAAAGGAGGAGAGAGACATATATTTATGAAGAAACATATGAGGGGTACCCCCCAAACTGGGAAAACTTCCACTGGGCAGAGGTTTCATAGCACACATTTTTCCCACTAGGTGAGCATCAAGCAACTCATTCTGAGTTAGTGCACCCAGTGGCTTTGCCTGGGAAGTTCTCTCTGGTCACAGTGAATTTTTTCATAAAAGTAGTTTTGCTAGAACCTTGTTTTTTGAGATAACCAATTTAAGAGAATAGCATACAGCTGTGGACTTTTGTTTCCTTCTCAGGAAAAATGCCACAGACACTCCCGTGATGTCGAACAAAGCTTACAAGGACAGCACTATGGGAAAAACGCAAGTGTATGAGTGGTTTCCTTGTTTCAGAAAAGGTGAAATGTCAATGGATTACAAACCTCGTTCTGGATGTTCATCATCTTCCAGAACAGACGAAAATGTCAACAAAATGTCGTGCTTGGAGACTGATGATGGACCATTGAACGGATTGGGAAGTTATCTGGACTATCTAGGAGTTCAGTTCAGCGAATTTTAACAGGAGATTTGGGAATGAAAAAGGTTGCTGCAAAATTTGTGCCTCTGGTTCTGACTGACCAGCAAAGAGCATCAAAAGAACAGCTTTCAAAGAATAGCTCTGAAGTGACCCAGACGTTTTTCCCCAAGGCTGTTTATTACTGGTGATAAGACGTGGTGCTATTCTTACCACCCTGAAAGCAAACATCAATCAAGCCAGCGGAGGCTGCCACCATCACCTCCCCCAATAAAGAGCTCATCAAGTGAAATTAGAGATCAAGATGATGCTCATTTGTTTTTATGATGTGAGGGGAATAGTGCATTTGAAGCTCATTTCACCAGGTCAGACTGTTAATCAAACTTTCTATTTAGAGGTTCTGAAAAGATTGTGTAGCAGCGTGCAACAAAAAAAGGCCTGGTTTGTGGCAGATGGGGAACTGGTTTTGCCACCACAACAATGCATCTGCTCACGCAGCCATCTCAGTGCGCTAGCGTTTGGCAAAAAACAGCATGCCTCTCATGCCCCACACACCTTACTCACCTGACCTCATTCCATGAGACTTCTTTTTATTTCCATGACTGAAGAGGGACATGAAAGGACAGTGATTTGACGATATAAAAGAGGTGAAGAAAAAAATGAGGGAGGTGCCATCAGCTATCCAAATAGATGTTTGAAAAATGTTTCCAAGAATGGAATCAGAGATTTGACAAAAGTATTAAATGTAATGGAGAGTACTTTGAAAGTGATAAGGTTGTTTTGTAAAAAACATTAAATACATGGATTTGAAATTAAATACATAGTTTTTTTTTTGAGGGGGGGTACCCGTCATTTGCAGCAGAAAGTGAAAACTCTTGTAGATGGTACTAACTGGATTATAAAAGAAAGTTCTGCAACCTCACTGTAATTTTCCCCTAAACGCACCGAAATCACATTTTAGTTACATAAGCTCAAAATTATAGAGAAATAAAGTTACCTTTATTCTTTTTCTTCTGCATTTCAGTCACTAAAATCTGTTTGACTTTTTGACATAAAGACTCTGTATTTATATCAGCATTGACTTTTATCAGAATATTTTCTGGTTCTGAAAACCATTTCTCTAATAGGGGCCAGTTGTCCAAGAAGCCTACAATTCTGAAAAATAAAAAATATTATATGAAATGACACGTTGTTTGAAAGCTTGGAGTGGCATTAGTATGGCTTAGCTCATGTGTACAATTAAATAGCAGATTGTCAAACCCACTGAATTTGAAAAAACAACTTTAAGAAAACTATAGGCAATGTACTAACACACACTTTAGATTATGAGAAAATGATCTAGTGCCATTGAGACATATTTTTTGCAGAAACATGAAAGAATAACAGGAGATGTGAAATGTCACCATTTCAGGAATCCATTAGTGTAAGCTGAGTTTCTCTAAATGAAAATCTAAGCAAAAATGCCTCTTGGTGCTCGCCTAATGGCAATGGCAGGCTTCCCCACAACCCACTATCCACGTTTTTCCTGGAGGTAGAAATCGAGGAGACTTTTGAGTAAGGACGGATGGTTCAGATTTATTAGCTTTATTCAAAAGTATTCTTGGAATGGTTCTTGAAACCTCTTTTTCTTCTTTGAGAGTAGGCAGGCTTAATGTAGCTCAAATGACTCTTGCCTGGCTCACTTCATATTTTTAGACTTCTTCTCATGGTTCCATGAAATTGCCTAATTTTGTCTCAGTATTCTTATCCAATGGGAAAACTGTATTCATTCAAGAGAATGCCAGAAAACCTCGTTATAACAAAACAGCTGTTGTTATTGTGTGCTCTCACGCCGATTCCAATTCATAGTAATCCCTAGGGCAGAATAGCCTGCTCCATAGGGTTTTCTTGTCATCTTTATGGGAGCACGTGGCTAGGTCTTCTTCTCATGAAATTCCTGGTAGGTTTGAACCCCCAACCTTTTGGTTAGAAGCTGAATGTTTACCTATTGTGCCAAGCAGGCCTCTTACTAAGATGGCTAAATCCCTTGCCATTGAGTCGATCCCAACTCAGTGAACTTACAGGACAGAATCGGACTGCCTTATAGAACTCCTAAGGCTTTCATCTTTACAGAGCCAGATTGCCACATCTTTCCCTGGGGAATAACAGGTGGGTTTGAACCATAGACCTTTTGGTTAGTAGCTGAACATTTTATTTAAACACTTTCAAATGCCATCGTCTTCTCTCATACTTAATGAATGAGAATTCCATATAAGGAACTTGTATGTGAATGTATCGTGAATGGTAATGTTGCCAGATTTAACTCTCCCTGCTGTAGTGACTTGTGCTTTGAATGCAAGTCAGCCTGTAAATATTGCACTCAGCATCAGAAACACCGAGTTTTGTTTTATCTACAAAAGACTGGATTTTAGGAGATACATCTTTTTTCCTAATTCTGATGATTTCTCAGTGGGTAACTGTCAGTCCGTTCAAAGGGAAAGAAACAGACACTGAGCTGTCAACTAACCTGTGCTGTATCTGGTCTTTCAGAATCTGGTTCCCATCTTGATCTTGGGTTTCTGCGGCCACATGTTGACTGAGGTCTTCATAAGAAGTGTTCCGTAACAATTCTTCAGCTAAAGTTTGAAAGAAAATTCCTTATCAAATATTTCGTTACGCAGTTAGTTGCTACTAATGACTAAAATAGACTGTTGCAAGAATGTGGAATAGTGATTGTCATGCCTTCTGTCCATTATTATTCAAAATAGTTTAACAGGGCAAAAGAAGATAGTATTGGCATCAGAAATTAAAAGTTGCTTGAAAATTGTGGAAACAGTGGCCTGATGCAACGTTAGAAAGGAGCAGTAGTTTCAGTCTACAGTGCCTCCGGGCTGCTTATGAAAAATAATAATGACAAATGATGGTTCCGCATGAATGACAAGCTTGGAAAGAATTAGCCAAGTCAACCTTGTGGTGTAAAGATACCAAATGAATTAACTGCTATCAAGTCTAATCAACATAAACTTTGTTAATGTTACCTTATAATATAATTGAATAATTTAACTTTGAAGATTGAATGGTCTCCCCATAAACGGACACAGGGGAGTTGACACAAGAGGCCCCCAAAGAAAAACAAAAACAAAAACCAATCTCAGTAGCAGCTCTGAGTGAGTTCTGTTCTGGATTACTGGTTCGTAGTTCAGAATATTCATGAATGCCGAATAAATGGACAATCAGAAAGAGGAAAGAAAGCCTTGAATTAGTTGGAAAGGCAGTAGAATTACTCAGTGAATGCAAGAGAACACTGAAGAGTGAATTAACAATGTTCAAGGAAACGAAGGGCTCTCACAGGGTCCAGCAATCAGTTGTTCTCCGTCTGCATTCACGGTAGAACAAGAGGAAATAGATTTAGAACACAGAGCAGTGCTTTTAGGTTATTTATGAAACTCAAGGGTGACTGACATCAACATGGGTGATTGGAGAAGATTGTGAGAGCTCTTCTTGGGGATGCTGTCAGGTACTCTCTGGTATCCGCCAGCTCTTCTCCTCTCCAATTTTGCCTCACTCCCAAGGTCACAGTCCCCATATTGTGAACACCTCAAGTGGCTTTATTTCTGAAATCCTGATGGCCTATGCTCTCACCACACCTCCTTCACCTCCAGTACTCCCACAGAGCTGGTGAATCTCTTTAATATCATCCAGTCCCTAAATTCCTACCACCCACCCCCTGCCCAAGTTACCTGGCTCCGTTTTATTTCTCTTTTGGGCAAACCTAAATTGCATAGTTGAACACGCCACCTTCTCTCCCTACCCAACCACAGCAATTTCTTTGTCCTTCTGCTACATAGGCCTGGAAAACCCTCATCTTAGATGAATGTATTCATCTCATTTCTCAAGAGAATACTTGTGCCGGTTGAAATCCTTCAAGAAAAATACACAGTCTTGTGATTTATAAACTCACTAGTTCCCTGGCTCAAATATCAAAGGCGTGCTTAACTCTACATATGCTTCTTCCCTTGGAAAAAGTGAATAAGTAAATAAATAAGAAAAAATGGAAAGAAATAATGACAAGCTTCCTCTTGCTTGGCTCTTCCCTTTCTTCTACCGCATGATCTCCCCTCACTCTTTTCACGGACTCATTCCTCATTCGTGCAGGGTGTCTTCCCCCATCACAGCATTGGAATCACTCGCATCCTGTTCACCCCAACCTCCAAATACAGTGGGCACATGCCAGTGCTTATCTTGAGTTCTCTGGAGCTTTTATCATTAACCTTTAAACCACATTCTGAAACGTTTTCACCTATACTATACTATATTATTTGATATTCACATTTAAATTGGTCCAGTAGAATGAACTTAACCTGGACCACACAATTCACAAATGGTAGAGATGAGTTGTTGTTTCCAGGCTATCTGACTGGAACATTCAATTTTTGAATGTTTTATTGAGTGCTACCTGCCAAAATGTATGCTTATACAGCCTGATGAATCAACAAACTGAAAATAGCTGGCACCCAGGTCAAAAAAGCCTCATCTTCACCCCAACCCCTTATGTTCCTTTTGACCACCATTTAAAACATAATCATAAAAAAATCCAGAGCCAGTACTGAACAGCTCTCTAGAGCATTGCAGCTCCTTATCAGGCTGTTGACGTCCACCCCTCCTCCCCAAATAAACCCCCTCCAAACTCATGGCCAGGGAGTCGATGCTGACTGAAGTGACCTTTTAGGACAGGGTAGAACTGGCCCTGTGAGTTTCAGAGACTCCTTATGGGAGTAGAGAGCCCCATCTTTCGCCCTCAGATCAGCTGGTGGTTTTGAACTGTTGCCCTTGCAGACTGCAAGCCAACTTGTAACCTCTACACCACTAGGGCGCTGGTTAACAGGCCCAGGCTTCCACTTCCATTTGCATCCTGGGTGTCTTGTACCCTCATCTTAGCTTTCCCTCTCTTTAGGTCACTGTGGTCTTCTGCCTGTTGGCTTGAGTCCTGGTCATTCCTTTCTGCCCAGCCCGTGCTTTCCTGCCCACTGCTATCTAGGACTCTGAGGTTCCGATGTTACCCCCACCCTGGTGGCTTGGCTCCCACACACATCTAATGTCCGAAATCTTCTTAGTGAAGTTACTTCGGCTGGTCCTGCTGGCTGAGCTCTTATTTCTGCTTCTCCATCCCTTGCTGCCTCTCAGCCCCACTGAGGTCCTTGCTCTTTACTAGATATACCATTTAGGTTCCCCCCCCCCCCCCAAGCTGGGCAAATGGCTTTCTCTTCCCCTCCCCTTCTTGGCCTGGCTGACCTCTCCTCATGCTGGGTATACCTGAGAGAGTACATAGTTCTTACTTTATAATCATGAGCTTACTTGTGTTTCTCCTCGCTAGACTGGGAACTACCTCAGGATAAGGACTTGTCCTTCTCTTCTGCCTTTTCAGTGCCCGGCATGTTTACATGCTAAGGAAATATTTATTAGTGGAACTATTTAGTCTCTACCCATTATCAGTACTGCCCAATAGAACTCTCTACTGTGATGGAAACATTCTAGATCTGTTCTGTCTACCACGGTGGCCATTAGCCTAATGTGGATGTGACATGTGGCTAGTGTGACTGAGGAGTTTTTAATTTAATTTTATATGGTTAAAATAACATAGCTGCAAGTGACTAGTGACTACTCTATTGGATAGCAAAGCTCTATTCTGTAATTATTCAGTTCCTTATCTACAATTTCTTTGAAGATAGTGTCCACTTCTTGATCACTCTTTACCAATGTCTAGCCCAGTGTTGGCCCTTGGCAGGGATGAATAACTATTATGCAAGGGTATGTCAAAAAAGTGAGTGGGAAAATTTCATTATGTTTTAATTCTGTTTTTCCACAAACTTTGGAAGCCCCTCCTCTGAACACATGGATGAATCAGACATTTTAGAAGGGCAGAGTTTTATCACCCAAATAATTTAGGTGGTCTTGCTTAAGATGAGGAGAGTAAATTGGCAAAATGATTTTTCAAGGATATTACAATCTGAAAATCTAAGGAAAAAGAAAAATTCCTTAAATATATAAAATACTTTTATTACGACACATGGATATGACAGTGGTATCCCGATTTTAAATGTTGCGGATGATTTTGCCATTTAGAGTTGTTGTTAGGTGGCTTTGAGTCAGTTCCGACCCTAAGCGCCCCTAGCACAACAGAAGGAAACACTGCCCGGTTCAGTGCCCTCCTTCCGATGTTCCACAGTACTCAAACTTAAAACGATCTCATACTACTTTCTCCAGTTCAGATTGCCCTTACATAGCATTTTATTCATTGTACCACAAACTAAGCAATGCAATCATGGTGCAGAGAGATGGCAAAAAGAAAACAATCATCACATTGTGCTTTAGGCTTGTTTCTAAAGGAAGGTGAATAAGGTTATTTGTGTACCTGTGTTTATAAAACATGAACGAAGATGAATTCTCCTTGGAGTAGCAATAAAAGGACATTCCTAAGCCTACTGAGTTAGTTAATTGTGCCAACCTGGCCGATAAACACATGTGGGGCTAATTGAAAGGCGGAGGGATAAATGGGTGGTGAACCTCGCCTTTCTAGTTCTCGGGTCTCTTGCTTTGTGATGGTCGCACCAGGTGCAGCTGCCTTAACAGTTCCCTGCTTCAGCTTGCAAGATTGACTTCCTACAAGACATCCCCAAGGAGAAGCCACATGGACCTATCCCGATGCAGCCCTGGGTACTGGAGCAGCCATGTGGAGACCCCTGCTAGTGCTGAGATGCTTAGTCATTCACTGACTCAGCTTTCCTCCTGCAGTCGGTGTCATTGCACCTGTTTTGTGAGGTGGAGGACTTTGTGGACTGGTGTTGGGTTAATGGGTTAATGTTGGACTTGTGGGCTTGGGCAGCATTGGGTTGGGATGTTTTCGTGATGCACCCTTTCTTTACATAAAACTCTCTTATACGTGAGTTGCTGTGGATTTGTTTCTCTAAAGTACCTAGACTAATACACCTACTCTAGACTTACTCAAGGAGAAATATCGACAATGCCATGAACCGCCAGGCATGGAGGCAGCACCATCAGGGTGCTTTGTTGAAGCTAAATGAGACTTCATCTCATGTACTTGGCACACGTTGTCCGGATAGACCAGTCCCTGAAGAAGGACATCATTCTTAGGGTACATGGTCAGCAAAAAGGATGACGACCCTAGATGGGGTGCACTTACACAGTGGCTGCAACAATGGGCTCAAGCATAGCAGAGGTGTGAGGACCTGGAAGTGTCTCATTCGGTTGCATATATAGGGTCCCTTATGTGCCAGAACTGGCTCAACGGACCCTAAAACAACATGACAACAAAGATTTATCAAGGGCCTAGAATTAACAAATTAAATTGATTATCTGCTTTGTTGCTATTAAGCGTTATTGAGTCATAATATTGAGTTAGGTGTTGACTCACAATGACCCCTTGTGGTACAGAGTGTAACTATTCCATGAGGGTTTCTTGGCTAACATCTTAATGGAAGCAAATTGCCAATCTTTCTCCCACAGAGTTGCTGACTGAGTCACAATTAATCTACCCAATACTCACTGCTATCGAGTCAATTTCCAACTCTTCCCTAGAGTTTCTGAGGCTGTCAATATTTACAGAAGAAGACAACCTCATCTTTTTCTTATGGATTGGCTGGTGGCTTTGAACCACAGAACTTGTGGATAGCAGCACAATAGTTAACTGACAGTGCCCGCTCATCTGTTTGTACCACCAGGGCTCCTTGTTGAGAGGCTAACATCAGCATTGTCATATTTTCCAGAATCCTCCATCATGCAATTTTGATAGAGTACTGAGAGAACTCAAGTGGACGGAATTAGAGTTCCTAAAATATGCTCACCAATTTATTTCCTTCTATTTTTGAATCATGCTACAATTCTTTTTACAGAGAACCAGGAGGGAGGGCAACCTTTTTCTGAGGCCCTTTAAAAGTTATAACAACTATTTTTTAGGAAATCTCTCACTCACAGTTTATACTGACTTATTGCATCTGTCTTTATGTCAGATTCATCTTGATATACAAGGCCTAGTCTGATACCAGATGGCTCCTCAGCCAGTCCTCGCTATAGCCTGAGCAAGAACGAGAGATTAGGAGAAGCAGCAGAACTATCCTCAGTGTCAGCATGGGTGCCACTCCCTTGTGTGGAGAAGAATGAAGCTCCTCCTTTTTGATGTGACAGATAACATCCAGCTTAATTGACTAGGTAAGTAGTAGAGAGTGATTTTGTCCTTTTATTTAATTAAACAATCAAAGAAAGATCTCAAATGTTACACAGAGTCAAAATAAGAATGAGTATGATTTTAGCCAAATCAAGTACTCATGCTTTAAATCTCCATCTATAAGTAAAAGTAAAAGATGTTTCTGTAGGTCTCTCTTGGCTCTTAAGTGTCATTGAGTTACTAGTAGCAGTAATAACAGAACTAGCAGCAGCAATAATAAAAGAATGTTACTTATTAAAAGATAGTTGATATTTTTTCCCTGTTTGCTGGGATAGTTTATATTTTAGAGATAAAAATCATGAATCTTATATAAATGTAAAATGAACACATGTCAAAAGAATTGTTTAACTTTAGCAATGAGGAACCAGTAAGATGTTACAACCAGACATATATGCAAGCAATAAGGGATGCTGAAGTGAGTGTATTGACCGGTTCAAGACACATTATCATCTACAGAGGCCAATGGAAGTTGTGTTGTCAGAAAACCAGCCATCGAGTCAGTTCAACTCAGTGCACTATGGACAACAGAAACACTGCCCAGACTTGTGACACGCTCACAGTTCTTGTTCTGTTTTAATCCATTGTTTTAGCCATTGTGTAAATCCATCTCAACACCAACTAGAGACCCATAAAGACCACCTCCATGCATTCAAGTCTGTGCCAGGGCAATGATCAATCTGATGGAAGGATTCAGAGAGGCGTGCAGTTGGCACTGAATTCTATGCCAATTGATGTTTGGCTTAGAGTGCTGAATACTGTCAGTCAAAACAGCACAGATGGAGGCAGGAAGAACCTCTGAACTATTGCCCTGAAATAATTTTTAAGCTTTAACACAAAAATATCTACTGAAGTCTTCTTTAAATCAAACAACAGTGTGGCTTGACTAATAACGTCTGCATTGAGCATTGTGCTCTTTTAAGATCTATCCAGATGGGATCCAAGTGACAACAGCATCCGAAAGGGTAAGATAGGAAACACACGTGCAGGGCATTCACGTGAAAGAGAGAGGCGCAACTCAGAAACGGACGGCAAGAAAGGCGTAGACACCAAGGCTGGACTCGGTGTTCGTGACTTGGAAGTGTAGAAACTGTTGACTCGGTGGCGGTTTTGCTGTGTGTCGTGTCACCAGCAAAAGAATGACACCACCACACACACAAAACTAGATAGAGCTGAGCTCAGAGCGAGGATTTCTGAAAGTTGAAACGGGATTCTTTGTTCTTGACTGATGGGAATCAATCAATCAAAGAGCAAATACAGTTTCTGACTGTAGCTAAACGTATAGCAAACAAATAGTGTGCAGCTTACCCATGGTGTCATTTATGCGCTTCAGGGTGGAAGTATCCGAGATGTCTAACAAGATGGCAAAATCAAGTGCAGAAGGGATGACTGGCACTTCCTTGGAAACTGTTGGATCAACAACCAAGGTGGATATTTGTGCTCTCTTTGCGTCCAGTTCTAGCTGTTCCTTGTTATAGCCTGTGAGAGCTTCCTCAAGGAGCTTTGCTTGGTTAGCTGTCATAGGAAAACCATCAAGAATCCAGCCTTGATCTACAGGTACCTGACTAAATTGGAAAAGAACAAGCCATTAGTATTTTACAGACAGAAGTACTTTGGACATCATAATAGAAGGAACCGTCCTGGGTCTCTCAATTCCAGAGTGGTAATCTAGCGCCCACATTTTATTACTTTCCACCGTAACAGCTGAGTTCACTCACGTAGTACAGTCATTCTCTTGTTGACATCCTTTGGTGGATCCTTGTTGTTCACCAATCTATTCCAGAAGCTTGCACATGGTATTGAGATAACCGGCCACAACTTAATTTTCGCTAACTTCTTACCTCACAGTTTTGAACTACTGGCTTCAAACAAACTGATCTTCCCATTGCTGTTTGAGTATGAATGGCACTTTCTAGTGTTTGTTCATAAGCTTTTCCACCATTGAACCCCAGGTTCTTAGTCTGTACAATGGGATAACACAACGTCCCTCCTCCAGTAGTTCTGAGCATGAACTGAGATGCCGCATTTTCAAACCCCGTAGTGATTAGCCAGACGTGACAGATACTCATATTGCAGGCCTGGAAAGTTCTCCTGCCTCGTCCCACCCAGGGTGGAGTATTAGCAACCTGATCTGGACTCCTCTGACTCTCATTCACTTCATATATGATCTGCAATTGTCTTATATCTCCATTTACAAAATTTCAAATGAATTTTATCTCAATTAGGTTGTCAGTTGCTGCGTTGTAGTTAATTAACCTGGCCCTTTCAGCTATTATTCCTTATGTGATGGATTATAATTCTGGACACATGCTCGTGGTTATTATAGCATTTTGGAGTGAGCTCTCTGCTATATTTTAGGACAGGGTTCAGTCCTGACCTTAGTAGAGGAGTATGGTTGTTTAAACGACCAAACCCATACCTCCATCAAACCAACTCTTCTGAGTATCAGAGCCCAAAGCCCAGGGCCATCAGAAAGTCACATCAAGGTTTCTGTCTGAAATAGAGAAGGCTGAAACCAGAGGCACCAGAGAGTGTGGCGTGGAGACTAATGGAACGCAAGAAAACAGCCAGTGTGAGACCATGACACGAGACAGAACAGAAAAGCAGTGCTGAAACTATGGCCCATGAGGCAGAGGTCAAGAGACCACATGACTGAGCTATTGAGACCAGAGGGAGACTTGGCTGCTGGCTCAGGAGAGGTGTTGCTCTGAACTATTGACTGTATCCTGGCTGTTTACCAATCCTGACTTGCAGTAGTTTATTAACTTCCCTAGGAAATGCTGTGACTTTTGTCTGTGAGTTCTGTGTGGCCATTGAAATGAATTATTGAACCTAGCGTAGACATTGAGTGCTGTGGGTAACAGATTAGTGTTAGAGTAAGCGAAGAAGGAGGGAGGCGTGTCTGGCCCCTGCCTCTTGGCAATGGGGAAGTCAGAGGAGGTCGTACATGGCTACCTTTATGACATTTTATGACACCTGCAGTACTTTCAGGATTATTTCTTGTCCTTTATATTGGAAATTTGATTATTATATAGTGTGGTGAATATCTTTTGGGATTTATTTTGTTTGTTTTTTTTTTAGCTTTTTGAATAGTTATTTTCTCCTCTTGCATGATGTGAGTTTATGATGCTTCATGCTGGTGGTGTTTTTTCAGAAACTCTTTAGAATTTTGTTCTTTGTGTGTACTGCTCCCTCCTTGGATTGGGATCCAGGGAATTGTTACCATCCACCTGTCCTCACATTGCTGCGATTGTCAGACGTTACCAAGCCGGCTGTGACGCACAGCAGAGCCTCTGAGCAACAGAACAAAACTCCACCTGGTCCCGCCCCATCCTCACAATTGTTCTCATGTTTGAGCCCGTTGCTCCAGTCACGGTCTCCACCCATCTTGTCAAGGATTTCCCCTTTATTCACTGCCCCTCTACCTTGCCAAGCACGATGCCCTTCTCTAAGGACTGATCTCTCCTGATCACAGTTCCAAAGCATGTGAGATGGAATCTCACCACCCTCTTTGCTTCTAAGGAGTAATCTGGCATTACTTCTCCAAGACAGAGTGGTTTGTTCTTTTGGCAGTTCCTGGTACTTTCAAGTGTTTTGGATTCTTCTTCACCCTTCCTTATTCAATGTCCACATTTCACAAGCATATAAAGCAGTGGAGAGTACCATAGGTTGGGTTAGGCACGCATTTGCCCCCAAAGTAACCCCCTTGCTTTTCAACATTTTAAAGAGGTATTGTGCAAAAGATTTACCTAATGCGATGTGTCTTTTGATCTCTTGACTACTGCTTCCATGAGCACTGATTGTGGATCCCCGCAAGGTAAAATCCTTGACAGCTTCGATCTTTTCTATTGGTCGAGTTGCGAGGATTTTTGTATTTTTTACATTGCGTTGTAAATCATACCAAAGGCGGCAATCCTTTTGCTTCATTGGCAAGTGCTTCAAGTCCTCCTCGCTTTCAGCAAGCAAGGTTATGTTATCTGTCTATCACAGGTAGTTAATAAGCCTTCCTCCAATCTTGATGTTGCATTCTTCTTCATGTAATCTAGCTTCTCTGATGATTTGGTCAACAGGCAGACTGAATAAATATAGTGAGAGGATACAACCCTGACACACATCTTTCTTGATTTTGAACAATGTGGTATTCATTTGTTCTGTTTATGCAACTGCCTCTTGATCCATATATGGGTTCCCAATGAGCACAATTAAGTATCTCAGAATTTCCACTCTTTTCAAGGCAGTATGATCCACACAGTTGAACAACTTTGCATGATCAATAAAATGCAAATAAACATCTTTATGTTATCCATAGTCTTCTGTAAACTGGTTCTCACAGTTTAAGTTCTAATACAATTCCATCCTCTGGTCTTGGATTTTATTATTTACAATTCTTTGATAACACAGGCTCATATCCTTCGACCATGTAGATTTAGATTATACTTTACTTAGATGGCTGTTTTTGTTTTTATAATTATTTTTTAAGACAAGCCTTTAAGATCCTAGACAATAGCTCTCCCTCAACACAAGAACACTTTGTTCTAACAACCTGGCATTCTGTGATGCTCACACTGAAAACAAAATGGGTGCACAAGCAAATGTGGCGAAGAAAGCTGATGCCTGGCTATCAAAAGATATAGTGTCTGGGGTCTTGAAAGCTTGAAGTTAAACAAGTGGCTATCAAGCAGAGAATCAACAAGCCCACATGGAAGAAGCACACCAGCCTGTGCGATCATGAGGTGTTGAAGGGATCAAGTAACAGGCATCAGAAGACTCAAAATTAACTAACTAACTAA